ATGCTCTTGATGTTTGCATGTGGTCCCTGGTTCTTTCCTGTGGCTCTCTACTTCTTGGCTGCCCTGAGATGGGTATCTCTGCTCCACTGAGGAGCTCTCCATCGTAATGATTTGACCTTCACCAGCTCCAAGACATAGTGAAGCCACCTGGCCAAGGGTCGTAGTTTCTTAAAACATAAGCCAAAATAAATCCTTCCCCTCACGAGCTGTCTGCTCAGGCATTCTGTCACAGCAATAGAGTCTGATTAACCCTCTCCAAAAACAACCAGAAAGCAAAACCAACACAAACAAACTACACTCTCAAACGTTTTATGTGCTTAAACATTTTTATTTTCCAATAACAATGTCCTGCTATATTATTCATGGGTCTCAAACACTGCAATTGCATTCACTAGATAAGCTCTATTTATTATGTTGCGTCACAAACCAAGTTATCACACTAAGTTTGTGTTGTCAACCTTTTGTCGTATTTATTATAAGTATTCGCCAGGTAGCGTATTTCCAAAAATTGGCATGGTAGGCCCAAAGGCCAGCCTAAGCTAAAGATTAAGAAACAAGTCCTTCTTTCTAAAGTTTTGGTGTTAATTTTTTTTATCCAGATCATATGACTAAATTTCACACTATTCAAAGGACATGATTATCTTTTAAAGAAATATTAAGGATTCTAATTTGGTTTAATGTTTGTGAATCTTTAGTTTGACTCTTTTAATTTTGAATTTTTGTCAATTTTATAAAACACTAAGGATCATCATTATTTTATATAGCATTGAAGCATTTGAATATGCTTTATATACTACGGAACTTAGAGTAGAACTGTCACTAATAGTGTTCTCTTTCCAAGCCAACACCTGGTTCCCACAGTGTGCCAGAGACAGGCTTGTAAATCATTTCTGTCTTTGGATCACATACCATTCCCATAGAAAAGGGTGATTAGGAAATATTTGTCAAGTGGGTAAATAGAAACTCAGTTAGAATGGTATCATAAAACAACTCATTTTCAAAACCCTAAGCTAGCTCCAAAAAATCCTGTAGACATGACAAAACATATGTGAGTTGCGAAAGATTTGTTACTCAAATTCAATAATGAGAGGTCATTACACTTAAATGTGTTGAGCCAAGTTGCAGAACTTTAAAAAAATTACTTTGTTTGAATAATGACTGTAAAAACTTTCCCCTCAAATATTTAGTAATGGTTGACTTTAGAAAATACATAAACATTGGTTGGATGTTTGGAAAAAAAAAAAAGATATTTAAAAAGGCTCAGAGCCAGTCAGATTTTGAGATTATAATAAAGTCTCTGATTGTTTTGTATGTAACATGAAATAAACAAAAATTTCCTCATTACCTGTAATGAATATTATTGCATCTTGATGGCAAAAACTAAAAATTAGCAGCTTTTAAAATAGGAGACTCAGTGTATAAGAAACTGATCCTTCCAAAGTAGGAAACATCTCCATGGGAGTAGGAGTTCTGAGAGTGTTTGGGCATGGCCATGCACACCATCATGGTATTTCTTAAAATGCATTCTCTGCTCCCTGCTTTCCAGTGTCCCTCATACCTCTAATGTAGGGCTGAAGAACTCCCAAGGTCAGATAGCATCCAGTACTGAAGACCAGAGCTAAAAGGAGAACAAGAACAGTTGTGTTTTGTTTGTTTTGAATATACATGTTTTGTCAGCTAATGGAGATCACCAAAGCAGCCAGAAAATGTCACTGCTATATGAGCTTAGAGACATGAGTAATCTTTTAAAAGTGTCACAGATGTTAACACACATTCCTGCCCACTTTCCCCATGGCTTCAATGACAGAAGGCCTTCTCCATGATCTCAGTGCTTTGCTGTGGACACTGTGAGCCCGTTGCTCTCAGAAGATTATGTTGTCATGATAATATCCAATAAAAATAGAACTTTTTTTATTATCTATTTAACCCACATGTCTAAAACATCCAATTTATAAACTTGTAATATCTCCATGCTTTTTATTTTTTATGTGTGAATTAATATCTGTTGCCCTTCTAGAAATATGATAATTAAATGATTTAATACATAGTAGATATGAGAAGAATGCCTGGAATATTTCAAGTACTTTATATTTCATTGTTATGATTGGATATGTTGTATGTTTTAAATTTGTTATTTTATTTGCGTGTGTGTGTGTGTGTGTGTGTGTGTGTGTGTGTGTGTGTGTGTGGTGGGGGTGCATGCCACTGTAGGTATGTAGAGGTAAAAGAACAATTTGTAAGAGTCAGTTCTGTACTTTTACCATGTGGATTCTGGGGATAGATCATTAAATCAGGTAGCCATCCATCCATCTGGCTGTTATATACATTGAATAGATATCTGCAAACCCCAAACATTTAAAAAAATCATCTGAATTTTCCTTTGCTTAATTATTATAGCTATTTCTACCATTAGTTAATGTTGATAATTAAGGAAAAAAAACCTAAAGTTTATATTTAATGGTTTTCATGAAAAACCACATATAAATAAGTTGAAATTAAATAAAAATGCAGAATTACTTACTGCTTTTAAAATGATGAAAGCTGAAGTAAACAGTGCCTAAACATAAAATATAAAAGCATTTGAAGTAATTTTGAGTATTGAACATACATGGCTAAAATTCATAAAAGTATAAGTTATTTACAGCTAATTTATACTGTATTGCCATAGCATAGTTAGTAATTAGTCAATCACTTTCTTTGAAAACATGCTTGTTTTTTATAAGGACATCTTTGTGCATTTTTTTCTTTTAGTAAGAATATGATGTTTTATTTTTCAAAGAGCTTTCAATTATACTACTAGCCATGTAAGTAGACTAATGACATGGAATCCAATAGTTTGCCTCCTAAGTCGATACAGTATGTGTCTTGATATTTACACAAGGAATAAAAAGCTACTATATTTTGCACACAAAAAATAGTATGATGATTTTGTTGTTCTGAATTCCAACTCATTTTGTGTAGCATATAGCTAGCCAATGGACTATAAATATAGTCAGAACACCGCATTACTTTTAAAACTATATTATTCAACATGAGTTACTGACTGAGAACGTCTTGGAAGAAATTGTCAAAATCCAGTATAGATTTTGGCTGATGATATAAAATCCCACTTTCTACATTTAAGTATTTCATTTTACTAAATCATCTGCTAGTGAATGATTCTGAACTTTTATGGTTCTTTATTGTTACTGATTTTCTTCTACTTCATCTCAGAAGTCAACAGTTAAATAAGAAGAGTATTTTACACGAAAGCACATCCATAGAATAGCATTAGTGAGTTTTGCTACTAAAATATAAACACTGTACATTCTAAGTGTTGAGTGAAATGGTACAATGCCTTCCATAACTTCTTCATTGAATATATGCTTAAGGATTATTACATAAAGTGATGAATGAATTTGCCTTAACTTGCACTACAAATCGCTTTACACTCATACATTTCATGGCATCATAAATCACATTGGCATATAAATTATATCACTGGTTTGCTAGCATTCTTTAGAAAGGTATTATGAAAGATGCAGTTCATGTGATTTACACTTACAATGCAAATATGGTTTTAACAGTTCTCCAGAGACTATTAGAGTTGCTTTTGAACTCAAGAAAACTGTTTTTATCCCCCCCCCACTGGACAAACATTAATTTACATTTGAATCCACAGAGGGGTTTATTTCTGCCATCTATTTATAATGATAAGGGAATAGATCCTTTATATAACTATGGTTTCAGAAATATGACCTTATGGGGGTAATTAAGGTTCCATACAGTAATCTACACAAGAATAGAGAGTGGCTTCATGTAGCCATGTGCCTTCTCCATGTCTTGCCATAGGATGCTCTAAGCCACCTTGGGATTTTTATCAGCAAGGAGTTTTCCTTAGGTGAAGTCCTTGGGCCTTGGGAATTTAGAGTATGAGCTACAGTAAAGGTTTCTCCTCTTTAGACAGTAGTCTGTTTCAAGGATTTGGTTAGTAATGAAAACCAAACCAATGTAGCAGCTCTCTCAATGGCAGAAAAGAGGAAATGCTATAAAATCTGTGGACACTCATACTCCAACTCAAATCACTTCCTGTGATTTCTGTGTCTAGCATAATAGTCCTGTAAACCATCGCCTTTTCATCCTTTCCCCAACACAATTGCTCAGGCTAGTGGGCGATGGGACAGGGTGAAGGGAGCTGGTCATCATGGTTTGTCTTTAGGGTTATGATTCCTTCCTATTAGGAGCTTGTTTTATTTCTTATTTATCACACTATAAGCTGTCTTTCTATTTCCTGTCTGCCATGTCCCCTGCTCCCCATGACCCTTACCCTACCTTGATATGCTTCCCACATGTACGGAACTAAACACTAGAATGAAGCCTCTGAAACTGTAAATGAATCCTTGCTCCCTTGGGTGAAACCTGATACTTGTTACTGCTTTTGTAACAGATTCCTTCCCAACTATCTCTTTGTTCATTGCTGTTTCCATTTGTGTAATAATGTCAGCCACGATTGTACAGAGTCGGAATTAAGCACTTGCTCAATGAAAGTATGGATGCATTGAATACAGAATCACAGAGCCAACTATTTTTAACTCTATGCAACACCTAACATGACCATCTCTGCCTTTATTTCCGAGTTTTTACTCTAACGATTCCAGTATAAAGAGAAACACTTCATCCTATGTCTTTTGTCATGCTCTCTGTCATTATTGTCACTGTATCAGTTCTGCAAGCATGTCAAGACTAATTTTAAAAGATTAATTTAAAAAAAAAACACACACACATTTCACTTGTTTTTCAGTGACAGTTTGCCTTTTCCATAACCAGAAAAAAAAAAGCAATTGAATAAATATCTAAAAGTTTTGCATTTATATCTTAGACACCATCTTCCTGCTCTGTAGTCACAACTTCGAAGTGTGTCCCTCATTAAAAGTAGAGGCAAGAAAAGGCATTAATACTAAACCATCATTTTGAGTTTACACAGGCGATGACAGAAATATAATACTCTGTTTTCCTTTTAGATCTCCAACTAAAGACATGGATTCTGAGGAGAAGGAAATTGTGGTTTGGGTTTGCCAGGAGGAAAAGATTGTCTGTGGATTAACTAAACGCACCACCTCCACCGATGTCATCCAGGCTTTGCTGGAGGAACATGAGGCTACATTTGGAGAGAAGCGATTTCTGCTGGGCAAGGCCAGTGACTACTGCATCATAGAGAAGTGGAGGGGCTCAGAGCGGGCCCTTCCTCCGCTGACGAGGATCCTGAAGCTGTGGAAGGCCTGGGGAGATGAGCAAGCCAATATGCAGTTTGTTTTGGTTAAAACAGATGCCTTTCTCCCAGTTCCACTGTGGAGGACAGCGGAAACCAAACTAGTGCAAACTAGTGAAAAGCCTTGGGAACTCAGCCCGGCGAACTACATGAAAACTTTACCACCCGATAAGCAAAAACGAATCGTCAGGAAAACCTTCCGGAAACTGGCTAAAATTAAGCAGGACACGCTTTCTCACGATCGGGATAACATGGAGACTTTAGTTCATCTAATTATTTCTCAGGACCACACTATTCACCAGCAAGTGCAAAGAATGAAAGAGTTAGATATGGAAATTGAGAAATGTGAAGCTAAGATCCACTTGGACCGGGTAGGGAATGATGGGGACGATTACGTTCAGGAGGCATATTTAATGCCCAGGTTTAGTGAAAATGAGACAAAGCTCGACTTTCAGCCCGAGGACAGCCAGACTCTGGTGGACCTGAACGATGGCGAGGGGATGGCGCATCTGGAAGAACGACTGCAGTACTACAGAGTGCTCATCGAGAAGCTCTCTGCCGAAATTGAGAGAGAGGTGAAGAGCTTGGGCATCGAAGGGAGTGAAGATACAGAGGGGGCGGCTGCCTGTGAACTCGAAAACTCTGATTTAGACAACGTGAAGTGCGATTTGGAGAAGAGCATGAAAGCTGGTTTGAAAATCCACTCTCACTTGAGTGGCATCCAGAAAGAGATTAAACACAGTGACTCATTGCTTCAGATGAAAGCAAGAGAATACGAACTCCTGTCCAAGGAGCTCAGCTCATTTCACCTCAGCAACAAAGATGGATGCCAGCTAAAAGAAAACAAAGGAAAGGAACCCGAGGCTGCCAGCGGCAGTGTGGAGGTCCCCTCATTAACTCAAAGGGCATTCAACACAGACACAAACGACACAGATTCAGACACTGGTATCAGCTCCAACCACAGCCAGGACTCTGAAACAACGCTGGGCCATGTGCTGCTGTTGTCAACGTAACTCGGATGACTTCTCTGACCATTAATGCTGTGTTGTGATTTAACGAAAAACTCCATTCCACATTTAACGCTGTGAAAGTGTTACGTCATGCTAAGACACCCAGTAGTTAATAAAAATACTAGTGAAATCGTTGCTAGTTTTTAATATAGTGTTTGCAATTTGACTTTCTTACAGGTGCAGGCAATGGACTATGTATTAGGAATGCAGCGGATGTAACCAATGATTACAAAGCACAGAAATACTGTGGGGGGACTGATTGATAATTCCCACACATGAGACATTAGTGGCGTGAACCTGAAAACAATTCTCAGCTTCATTCGTCAAACTCTCCATATCGCAAGCATGAAGAAGTAGAGCGAACACAAGTTCATTTTTGACAACATTGCATCATTAGAATGTTTAAGTCTGTAAAATCCAGGCCTACTCCCATGTCCTGTGTGTCATATTTGGATTAATCCAAATCGTGCTTTTTCAATAGTCAGAATTTAAAATGGTGTGTGTGTGTGTGTGTGTGTGTGTGTGTGTGTGTGTGTGTGTGTCTCCCTGGCTGCTGTCTGTTTAAGTGTAAGGGACAGGAAGCTGTTGATACATGCATAATTCTTGACAGTAGATCAGTTTGGGCACAGATGAGGCAAAGTCAAGTGCTCTAGACAATCATATTTTATTTGTTTGTTTGTTCTGCTCCAAAGCAAGTCTAACATGATCACAAGCTATGCATATGCTTTTACTCTCTGCTCATTAAATCTTCTATCCATCAATGCTGTGTGTATTAGGGTATATAATAATAATAATAATAATAATTATTATAATTATATTGGAAGTTATAGTGGAGGCTACAGAAGGACTAAGTCATAATTTTATTTATGCCCTCCTAACTTTGTGCATGGAAGTGGAATTTACTGTCTTTTTGTGTGCGCATAGCAGTGTTTTGTTTTTTGGGAGCCTACAGAGTAGAGTTGAATGTTTATTCTTGTATCCTGTAACCCAGTTGTCAGGGCTGTCAGGACTTCCTGGGTGCTTAAAACACCTCAGTATTTTTAAGCTGTCCCAAGCACACTAAGGGAAGTTCCAGAGATTGAATGAATTATCTAGATTCTGTCTTCATTCACAGTTATGTTTTGCTTGGTTTTGAGTAGACATTTCTGTTCTCTCCTGCCCTCCTGAGATCTTACTTTTCCTTCTCATCTCTCTTCTCCTTCTTCCTTCTTTGCAGTTAAGACAGAATGCCATCAGAGCCAAAATAATTAATTTTATTATTTTGCTGTGAATTGAATATTAGAGTAACTTAATTTTCTTGAGTTGGCCCATTTTACATGTCCGGATACATAAAGCAGAAATGTCTAATGTATTTCTAGTATATGTTAAGTATTATTCCTAGGATGTTTCTCTTTTATACACACTGATGCAACTTTTAACTGTTCTCTCATTAAATTTTGAACGTCTTAAAGATTTTACCAGCTTTATTGCTGACTGGATGTCTTTAGTTTGCTCTTTCAGAGTGTAGTGCCCCTCCCCGACCTTTTACTTGTTTCATGTATCTTTGGGAAGATACTTATATTTCCATAGAGTTTCATATCTGGGAAGCACCTATGTTACCATTTGGAAAAAAAAGCAAAGTTATTTTCATACAATAAAGATTTTTATTCCAGGAAAGTAATCATGTTCACATAAATTACATTTTTAAGGAAAGAATGAAATAGTCATTTGTGAGAGGGAAATTCACCTGGCTAACAGTCCATTAGCTCACTAATGCACATGCTAAACTGTGGACGTATGTATTGTTGCTGGTAGAGATCAAATTCAGAAGATTCCTATATATATGATAAGTATGCAGTACTTTGTTTTCCTAAAATTAAAGTTATCTCATTGGAGTTTGTGTTTAAAGAAAATAAGTGTTGCATATTTCAGTATGCAGCTTGATAATATTATCTAAATTCAAAAACAGGTATGATGATAATTGTCACAGAGTTTCAACATTAGGAACTTTTAATTAACTAAGTATTGTTTTTTACACAGTTACTTATAATGGTAGTGTGGGAGGTGCAAGTTTGCTCTTTTGTTTGTTTGTTTTGCTTTTTTCTAGACAGGGTTTCTCTGTTAGCCTTGGAGTCTTTCCTGGAACTCACTGTCTCTCTGCATTTTGCTGTTAGGAATGTTTCTTTTAATATGCTGACTTTCTCAAACTCATTGTAGAGTTTGCATTTTTCCCTAATTATTAAAATACACTTCTATCATTGGTCATTAAGTCTCCTAGCTATTAGTTTCCACGGTGAAACTCTAATAGAATTTAATATGAATGTATTTATACAGATAGAAATAATGAGTGATCTCATGGATATTATTCAATTGATGGCTAAGCTTATAAATGCAGGACTTGAAAGTTTAATGCCTTAATTATCTTGAGAAACTTAGTGAATTACAAACCCTTAAGAAGCCTGGCAGATTAACCACAAAATAGCCAATAAGCAGCTAGAAGAGGCAAGCCACAGTTGACAAGGCCTATTTTTCCCAGAACCAGGTAATCAGAGCATGTCTTGTACACTCTCTTGCTCAGCTGGCCTCTTTCACTGTACACTGGTATGCTACCTATTTTCTTTTCTACCCTCTTTGTTTCTCTTGTTTGGTTTTTCAAGACAGGGTTTCTCTGTAACTCTGGCTGTTCCCCCAGGACCTCCCACAGTAGACCTGAGCCTCCCAAGTGCTGCTATCAAAGGTGAACACCACCACACCCAGCAAATACCTACTTTCAGTGTGCCTAAAAGTGTCCTTTGCTTTCACACAATTGTGTTCCATCTTGGCAGTTCTAATCTATTATCTCCAAACTTGCACATATTTTAGAAATACTTCTTTTGGTGTTCTCTTATACATTAGGCTGTATGTATTTATGTAACCATCTAACTCCACTCACCCAGTAGAGTCTTTTATCTCATACTTTTATTATCTACCTTTCTAACTTGGTTGGTTATTGCCTCTTGTTCCATTAGTAAAGAGAGTTGCGAAATTGTAAATGGTTTTCAACATGTTTTACGATTTTTTAACATTAATATTTACTTGTGCAATTTGTACATAAGCATGCAAATAACTAGGCTTAAAAATGTTAGGCATTCTACCTATAAATTTAGGGAAGATACTAAATCTTTACATTGCTATGAATTTTATCTATGTGACTTCATTTTTAATTAAGATAATAAGTGTACATTATTAGGGGGCAAAATATATATATATATATATATATATATATATATATATATATAATTTAATTACATCATATTTAAGCCAGAAAAAGCATCCAGGTTTTTTTTTATTTATTTTTAATAAGAGTTTTTACTTAAAACAACTCAAAAGCCTTTTAATTTAATGTCAGTGTTAACATCTATGGAGGTAGAAATTTCTGTCTTGCCAGCAGCTCCCAAATAAATACACTGAAGCTTGTGTTAATACAAACGCTTGGCCAATAGCTCATGCTTATTTCTAACTAACTCTGACAGCTTAATTTTACCCATGCACATCTAGACATTATACATATATAAGAAAACAACTGTATACTGCTGGGTTTGAAGTACTAGACACTCAAAATCTTTTAAATTCCTAAATTAAATCTGTATCATTTTTCTTCTTAATTAAAAATTTAATGCTGTATTATTATACAAAAACTTTTCTAACCCATTACATTTTTATTTTTGTATTTATTTAAACCTCTACTGTATATGACAAATTATATTTCTGTGGCTGCATTTTATAAATTTTCAGAGTAGAGTTATTGTTATATTTAAAACATATTTTTCTAGTGACAAAGGAATACAATTTAATACTGAGATAGCTTTACAAATAACAGTGGACTGCTTCCTTTTATACTGCCTTACTGGTTTGGTAAACTTCATGTGATAAACATAAAGTTTCATGTCTTCAAATTATTACTGATCAAGAAAAATAAAAGATTATTGTATCCTGTCTGTAGTATTTTTTTTTATTTAAAGATTAATATTTCAAACAAGTCATTTGGTATTATATAATTGCTGAGATAAACTAGCACATGCAATTTATTTGAAGATTGGTTAGTATTTCTTGACGAAACAAGTGTGTAGTAAGTAATATCTGAGAAAACTTTTGGACAGGTTTCCTACATACTTGTTCCAATTTGTTATGAAAGTATGTCCTAACTTGTATGCTGATTTTATGCATGGGTTCTTTCTTTTTAAGTGAAGTTATTTCACGTAAGAATGTTCAGAACCCTGTTGGTTCTTTGTTCTTGAATTTGTTTTGTTTCTTCTTTCCTCAAAATAAGTGTTCAATTTTGACTCTCTTAAGTAACTGCTTACTAAAGTCATAAGATCCATTACCTTATTCTATAATTATCATAAAAAAACTTTATGAAAAGATTGTATCTAATATCTAGCAAAGCATATAGGAATAAGTTCACACTACTGTATGTCACCATGTTTAGAGAAGAAGGACAATTTTTTTAATTTAAATTTGAAACAAGTCAATCCCAGGTCCCTCACCCTCCTGTCCTCCCCTGTCCATCCCACCAACCCCCATCCCATCGACTTTTTGCTCCCCAGGGAGGGTGAGGCCTTCCATTGGGGAGTCTTCAAAGTCTGTCACATCATTTGGAGAAGGGCCTAGGCCCATCCCCACATGTCTAGGCTGAGAGAGTATCCCTCTGTGTGGAATGAGCTCCCAAAATCCTTTCATATACTAGAGCTAAATACTGATCCAGTACCAGAGGCCCCATAGACTGCCCAGTCCTCCTAACTAACTCCCACACTCAGGGAATCTGGATTGGCCCTATGCTAGTTTCCCAGCTATCAGACTGGGTTCCATGAGCTCCCACTTGTTCAGGTCAGCAGTTTCTGTGGGTTTCTCCAACCTTGTCTTGACCCCTTTGCTCAACACTCCTCCATCTCTGCAACTGGGTTCCAGGAGTTGGGCTCAGTGTTTAGCTGTGGGTGTCTGCTTCTGCTTCCATCAGCTACTGGATGAAGGCTCTAGGATGGCATATAAGGTAGTCATCAATCTCATTATTGGGAAAGGGCATTTAAAGTAGCCTCTCCACTAGTGCTTAGA